TCCACCCCTCTCCCTGGCCATCCATCCACCCCTCTCCCTGGCTGTCCCTCCACCCCTCTCCCTGGCTGTCCATCCACCCCTCTCCCTGGCTGTCCATCTTCCCCCCTCCCTGGCCATCCATCCACCCCTCTCCCTGGCTGTCCATCTTCCCCTCTCCCTGAACATCCATCCGCCCCTCTGCTTAGCTGTCCATCTACCCTTCTGCCTGGCAGTATATCCATCCATCTGCCTTGCAGTCCATCCACTCTTCTGCCCATTCCTTCCCCTACAGCAACTGTTCACCCCAGAGACCCTTCCCAATAAGCCTACTACATATGTTAGAGAGCCCTCACTGTGACCTTGACAAAGCAAGGTCATCTGAGGTGAATATAACAGCAGTGTATGAAGATTCCAGCCGGATGCGATGTTTCAGCACTGACTACGCAACTGATAAGCCGTATGAACACATTTGTTTGTTTGAATGCTGCTGGAGAAAACATGTAAGAGAAACTACAGCTGTAGAGACACAGCTCTTCTATTTTTTCCTGCTTTGCTGAAATACAGTAGATAAAGCTTGTATACATTTAAGATATATACTGAGATGTGTTGATATAAACATTTGCCATGAAAAGATTTCTAGTGTTATGCTAATTGATACTCATCCCTTTACAGTTACCATTTCTATATTTTATTTACATTTGTATGTGTGCATATGTGTACATATCTATGTGTGTAGTATATGCTCGTGTGTGTGTGTGTGTGTGTGTGTGTGTGTTCTATCATTATCTACCTTATTTCCTTGTGTCAGGGTCTCTCTCTGAACTGGGAGACAAACAGGCCAGCAGGACCCAGAGCTCTTCCTGCCTCTGTCCACTGCAGAGCTGGGGTTGCAAGAATGTGACCATGTCTACATTTTTACTTGGGTTTGGGAATTCAAACTCAGATCCTCATGCTGGTGCAGCAAGCACCATCTCTCCAGCTCCATAGATTATTGCTTTAAGTTAAAAAAATTATTTTATGTATATGAGTGTTTTCCCTGTGTGCCTGTCTGTACATCATTTGTTGGGTCTGGTGTCCATGGAAGCCAGAAGAGGACATCAGGCTCTGTGGGTCTGGAGTTATAAAAAGTTCAGAGCCACCATTCAGGTGCTTGGAATGGAACTTGGGTCCTCTGCAAGATCAACCAAGGTTCTGAAGTGCTGCTCCACCTCTCCGGCCCCCACGGGCGTCTCTCCATCTGCTGATTGTTTCTTATGCTCTGTTCTTGCTTTCATTGCTTATGATTTGTGCATCGTATAAAAAAATCATTACCCATAACCAAGAAGATGTTCTAGGCTGGGATATGGCTATTTCAATGAACTGTTTATCACACAATCATGTGAGTCTGAGTTGGGACCTCCAGCAGCCATGGAAAATCCAGGCATGGCCACACAGTGCTGAAGAGGCTTAGATAAGAAGGTCTCTTCACCTTGCCTTGCTGGCCTGCTAGTCTAGCCAAATTGGTGAGCCACATTGAGAAAGAAAACAAGAGAAGATTTCCTCTGTTCCCCACAACCCAGGAGTTTTATAGTTTTGCAGGTTAGATTTGCATTTAAAGATTAGTCACTTTTGAGTTATATATAATGAAGGGAAATGCCCAATTACATAGATGAATTTATATATAATGAAGGGAAATGCCCAATTCATAGATGAGTTTATATATAATTAGGGGAAAATGAACAATTCCATAGTTGAGTTGATATATGATGAGGGGAAATGCCCAACTTCATAGTTGAGTTTATATATAATGAGGAGAAATGCCCAACATCATAGTTGAGTTTGTATATAATGAGGGGAATGCCCAGTCCCATAGTTGAGTTATATATAATGAGGGAAAATACCCAATTCCATAGTTGAGTTTATATATAATGAGGGAAAATGCTCAATTTCATAGTTGAGTTTATATATAATGAGGGGAAATGCCCAGTTTCATAGTTGAGTTTATATATAATGAGGGGAAATGCCAAATTTCATAGTTGAGTTCATATATAATGAGGGAAAAATGAACAATTCCATTTTGATATTTATAGGTATCCAGTTCCCAACACAAGTTCATCTTTTTATTTAAAAATTGATTTTCCTTATATTTTAAGATAGGATGTTGCTGTGGAGCCTCGGTTAGCATGTGGTCTTCTGGTCTCAGCCAGTCGAGCATTATAATTACACTACACACCACTGTACCTGGATCCCAACTACACTTAGAAAGGGACTGGTTTTCCCACTTGAGCATTGACAATACTATTAAAATCAAGAATGTAGATTTATTTCAGAGTTCTTATTTTCTCTTCAACTGGTTTGTGTGTCCATTTATGACAATACTGTGCTATTTTCTTTGCTGCATTATAATAGATTTTTAAAAATTACATGATGCCTCCAGATCAATCTTTTTTGTTCAATATTGCTTTAGGTTTTGGGATCTTTATGGTTCCATATTAGTTTTAAGATTGTTTTATTTTTCTGTAAAAATGCACTTGAATTTTGATAAAACTTTTAGTGAATCTGTAGGTCACAATTTTGGTAGTGTAGGCATTAAGTTCTATTGATTCTTCCAGTCTGTGCACATAGACTATCTTTTCTTTGTATCTTTATCCATTTTAGCCTACGGGTCTTTTACATCCTCAATTAAATTTATTCATTATGAAAGAAAGAATTCTTTAAGATCATTAGTTTGAATTATTTGTCCTTTATAGATCTCCTTTGTTTTGGTGGTTTTTTTTTTTTTTGATATTTTGCTTTGTTCCTTTAAGAGTAACGTGGAGTTCAAATTATGTCTGAATTATTTCTTGATTGTTCATGATCCTTGTGGTCTTTCCCTGATATCTGTTCCTTCCATCTTTGACGCTGGCTTCAGCAGAACATTTTCCTTATCTGTGAGTCTGACCCGAGGTTCTGGGTGGACTATGTGGTGAAGCCCATGAGGAGGCTTCCAGCTAGAGTCTTAGAGTAAGTCAGGTGCCTGGGCCAGTGTGTTCATTTTGTGATCACGTTCACAATGTGGACTTAGAGCCAGATTTAATGGTTTAGTAGTAGATTCTGAGACTGAAGGGATTTGAGTCCACCGGGTGTGTGTGGTATGTGGATATGATGCACACCGGGTATGTGTGGTATGTGGATATGATGTACACCGGGTGTGTGTGGTATGTGG